CATGATGCACTTGATGTTGCTAATCGAATTGGTATTATATAAACAATAGCCAAAAAGATACAAGAAAAGCAAAAGAAGAATTTTACCATATGTTTTTTTTTCTTCTTGTTTGTTTATGCTCCATTTTTGTGAAACAACAAATAAAAATAAAGATAATTGGGCATTAAAATTTTTTTTTTTAATTTTCTCAATCGTAATTCGAAATAATACATACTTTTCGGATAAAAGTATAAATTTAATATTGAAATCCGACGATGGCCGATGGAAGTTTTAGTCAAACAAACAAAGAACAAAATTTTATAAACAGATTGTTTTGAAAATAAAATATCCTCCCTATTCAGAACAAAAAGTCGTGGCCTTCTATTTTGGGGTAGATTTTTGATACTATTTGTCCAGAAAACCAAATGTTTTTGAAAAACTCTTCTAGTATTCAAATAGACGTTTTTAGCAAATCAGTGCCGAAAAATCCGGACTTTTGCTAAGAAAAAATAGAAATTTTATTTTGAAAACCGAGCTTTTAGATGCTAAAATTCACTCAATTTCCAAAAAACAATGCCTTTAGAAAACCTATGGCATTTCCTTCTTGGGGCCATCTTCTTTTTATTAGTTTTCTAAATTGTTAATATCAAATTATATTTTACTACTCTTAAAGACTATTTAATGCAACATCATCCCTTGTTTGATGTTTCTCATACCTATACAATTGCAAGTAATAAATGCTGCCTAGTCGATAAGATTTGTTGTGATTAAATACTCATGTTGATCAATCTCAAGAAGATTTATAAGGTGAATTTAAGATGCTATTTATTTTTCATATTATTTCTGCATGCAACGAATGTAAGCGTTCCGCTTTGGTATTGACTGCAGCCATTTTCAGTTAATTAATAGAAGAAAGTAGAAGTAAACTAAAAGACAAAGTTTTCTGCACATATTGAAATAAATGATCTAAAAACTGAACAGCTGCACGTATCCTAAAAGAAAGTCAACGATGTTGAGAAACACTCGAGCTCGAATTTGACCGAATTTTAAAGTGCTTCAATGAGTACCCATATACTTTAAGAAACACTTAGGCACATGACTTAAATACTTGACACTATCTAAAATGATTGGATAGTTTTCGAGTCCGTATGTTTAAAAACTTAATTTCTTCATAAACAAAATTTGATATTTCATATAAAATATAAATTTTAAAATTGTAAATTTCATTTTAATGAAGACAACTATATGAATAGAGATTTGATAAATTGCTAATTTTAATTGGCATCAATCTGATAGGATTTTATTCATAATCATTTCAATAGCTTATTTCTCATAAATTCCAGTTATTTTCTCATGTTTTATCTGTAGATCCGTTTGATTTCATAATAGTAGATGCTATTATTCACTTTTTCATTTCTTGAATCAATTATATGTTTAAACATTCTTTTCTCTTGAAAGTCAATTAATAATTTTGTAAGAGTAACAATAAATAGGAAAAAAAGCATCGACAATAAATGGCAAGCAAAAAGAAAACAAAACAATGAAAACAATTCTCAGAATAAATAAATAAAGAAATCTAGAAAGAATCTCTAAACGACAAACAACACTAATAATCATTCGTTGAATTTATAATTTTAACTCCAATCCCTTGACATCTTGATAATAAAATAAAATAAAAAAAATATATAGATATTCTATTCGTCAAAAAAACAATTCTTGCCAAATAAAAATTTTAGTTGCATCATATGCAACAAGAATAGCGATCATTGAACAAAGAATCATTAAAATACGATTAAGATATCGCATATTTGGTTTATTTCTTTGATCAAGTAAAATAAATACAAAACCACCTAATGTAAACATAAATGGTAAGTTGTACTACCTGATTATAAACATAAATATAATTGAGATCAAATCTGTTTTCCTTCTCCTTTCTACTGACCGACATTGTCAGGCCCCGCTCGAAGAGCGAAACATTGGAGGAGTATAAACCTCCCAAAAAATCTGAAAGTATGATTGTTGTGCAAAATTTCCAAGAAATCACAAGGACTATATAGGCAATAAAATATTGAATACATTATTTATTCTTTAGATTTTCTGCTGTTTGTCGAGTTGCTTTTATCAAATCGTTTTCTGATATCTCTTAAAAAGTATCGATGATTTGTTTCATATGAAATATAAACAGCTCGAATAGCCTCATATCGATCAGACCAACGTGTTCTCGACCAATATTCCTAAAATAAAGACGGTAAAAATGAAAATTGATTTAGAAGTAAACAAAGCTTACCAAATTCAATTTCACTAAAAGTTTTATACAACAATGAATGTCGTTTAGCATTCACTGTGAAGAAATTATATAATTCTTGTAAAATGCCAAAAAAAGTTTATGTATTCGATACTAATACTACTACCATGTTTTACTATTAAATTTGTAGAATGAACACCACATGGTATATATAAAATTGTTCGATTTAAATGTTTATTTAAGCAAGCTTGAACGCTTTGATTTATTCCAGATATATTCAAAGCATCATCGTAAGACTGAGCTACGGTTTTTGTCGGTTGAAATACCATATCTTTTTAGCTCATCTAGCAAATACTTACATATATCTTCACCTACCTTGGAATTTAATTCCATAACAGATATTATTCGTTCTTGAGTAATGAAGTCTTTTACAAATCGAATTACAATTGTATATATCTCTTTATTAGAAATATCAGTAGTTGAATCGACAGTCACAGAAATAAATTGTGCTTTATGTGTGTCATTCAATATTGCTTGATGAACAGCTCTACCTAATAATGTGATAAGTTCGTTTTGTGAATTATGATGAAGATAAGTCACCTGGAAATAGAAACAGAAATCTTTCCCTAACTGCAAGCCATAAAATAGTGTGCTATTTTTACATGATGTGGACGTAAACTGGAGTCTTTAAACCATTGATCAAGTATTGAATCACGATGAAGCAACAGATCGATAGTTGCAGCGAGATTGCCTAAAACAGAATTACTTTTTATTATAGGAGATCTAGTTCTGACTATTATTTATTTAATTTTAAAAGTTGTTCTCTTTTTCGATCAACTTCTCTTTGACCAGCAATTAATATTACATCAATATTAGTTTTTTTCTGAGAAAAGTTTAATAAACGATTTTCAGTGCTCATATGTGCCGTAGATTTAAAATGCTTAACCATCTTTCCATCGGAGCCTACAATAAAACAAAAGAATGTCGGTCTCAACCTGTTTCTTGGCAACTGTTTCAAATACCTGTCATCTTCAACCATGATGAAACGCCTTTGAATGACTATGTCTCTTGAAATTTTTCTGCATCGGGACCAGCACCAAATAAACGACAAGAAAAACAAAAAACAGCATCTTTTTTAACACTGTACTTCAAATAGGAAAAGTCCTTATATATACCAACTAGAAGAGAACGAACATTGTTTACTTTTCTTTT